CTCACCTGTGGCTGCATATGTTTAAGCATGACTTTTCTCTTTTAAGTTAACAGGAACTTTTTATATATTTCTACCTCTAGCATTTTTAGATTCAGTGGTTTGCCAAGTACCTGATAAAGCGGTTTGCCTTCTTTTAGGATATCTGTGATGAAACATTCCAGAGCGCTTTCATATTAGAAAACCACCAGATTAAAGATGGTCTTTAAACATTTTTTGGCTACATTTATGTTCCATATTAGTCTCCTAAAGAGGAGATGCTTGTGTTTTTGATAGGTACTATTTTCCATCCTGGAGTTGATTCTTAAATTTAGAAGCTGTCCGCAAGTTTTCGGTCAGATTCCAGCCAAACATTTTGGACAACCGATGAAAGTTTCCACTGCTTCTAGGTGAATGATTTGATGCTTCCAGCTACAACATGTGCTTCCCGTTTATACTTAAGTTGCCTCATAAATGCTGTTACCAAACTATTCAGACAGTTTATTCCTTTCTTCTGCTTCTGTTTTGACTCTGTGATAGTTTGGATGGTTGTTCTCACTTTATCCTAATCACCCTAATGAGTTTTCATGTAGGGGACACATGGGCTGCTCTGATTACAACATGCTTCTCAAATCCCCCTGGAGAAGATGATTATTGTCTCTAAATGAGCAGCCCGTTGAGAACGCAGCCCCCAGTTGGTTTCGTAATATAACTGATTTTATGATGTGTATTTTCTTTAACTAGATGAGTCCATGTCAGTCATGCTCTGATAGTCCAGGATGTTTTCTTTAGAAGTTGCTTCTAATTTTTTGAGAATAATTTATCTACAGAGCAAGGTGTCTAATGGTTCATATAATGCTAATATACACTATCGTTCAAAAAGTTGGGGTCATTATTTTTAATAGTTTGGAAATAAATTATTTTATTCAGGAAGGGTGCATTAAATTGGTCAAATGTCACAGTAAAGACATGTTTAATATTACAATATTATATTTTGTATCAATATTCAATATCAATATTTTGTAGCTGAAATATTAGATTTCTATTTCAAATAAATGCTGCTTTTTTGAACTTTCTATTCATCAAAGAATCCTGTAAAAAATGTATAATGGTTTGCACAAAAATATTAAGCAGCACAACTGTTTTCAACATTAAAAATAATAATAAGAAATGTTTCTTGGACACCAAAATGGCCATATGAGATTGATTTCTGGATGATATCTGGCCAATATTGATCATTTCAAAAATCGGTCAGTTATTAGTGCTAAAAGACCTGATAACTGTTCAGCTGTGTCTGTAATAAGTATCAGCTGTCTGCTAGGGTTGCTGTGTTGTTGCTGTGCCATGTGCACCATTTGTTTCTAATCCTACACAGTTTGTGAACAAGCTGTGGATTTTCAGAGCACATAAAAATACGGTGTGCTGTACATCAGTGACTGTTTGTTATTCCATTCCTGCGTCTGCTGTTTAGGCGATGCTGTCGTGATTTAGGGTCTCAAACACAGTCTCAAACTATAATTTTAAATTGTAATTATATTTCACAATATTAATATTTTTACTGCATTTTTGATCAAATAAATGCAAAACATTAAAAAAAATTGAGCAACCCCCACATTTCTGAACGCTAGTGTATATCTAGACTTGTAATATAGCACACAAGTCATATGGACCATACATACAGATTTGAAACATGAGGATGATTAATGAATTTTCATTTTTGGGTGAAATATTGCTGTATATAGTGTCTTACAGTGAATGGGTGTGGAGACTCATTGAACCCTCATTCTACAGCTCTCCCCATCTGGTCTGTGAACATCGTAACCAATTATTGATCTGTACTGTTTATTTTTTTCTCTCTGCAGGGCGTGGGTCTTTCAGTTCATGGACGGTTTCGTGTGGCCACTGAGAAGACACTGTTTGCCATGCCAGAGACGGGCATTGGTAAGAGGCAGCTTGTGTTCCTCTCTCCTTGTGGGCTGTAACTGGGTTATAATCTGAGTTTTCATTAATAATGCAAGATGGCTTTGGCTTCACAGGAATCAATAGTACTTCATCCAAAAAAATAGATGTGACAAGTGAATGTAAAGCATACCATTTGCCAAAAAAGAAACCGTAGTTTTGGCATATCAATTTAAAGGAATAGTTCACCCAAAAATTGCTGAAAATCTGCTCACCCTCAGGTCATCCATGATGTAAATGAGTTTGTTTCTTTATCGGAACAGATTTGGAGAAATTTACATTTACATTAGATTGCTTGCTCACCAGTGGATCCTGTGCAGTGAATGTGTGCCGTCAGAATGAGAGTTCAGACAGCTGGTAAAAATATCACAATAATCCACATGACTCCAGTCCATCAATTAACATCTTGTGAAGTGAAAAACTGAGTGTTTGTAAGAAACAAATTCATCATTAGGGCATTTTAACTTTAAACTGCTGCTTCTGGCTAAAACATAACATAATCCATAATAATGCTTCCTTCAGTTAAAAAGTCCATCTCCTGTTGTCCTCTCACATCAGAATCCACTGACATATTTCTTTAGAACTGTTTTTGCTGGTAAACTGAATATTTCTCTCCTGATTCAGATGAAACAACTTTTTCACTGGAGAAAGCAATGTTATGGATAGAGACTCGTATTTTAGCCAGAAGCAATAGTTTGAATGTCTTATGATTAAAAATGTCTTATAATGTCTTAAAAATTATGATTTTGCTTATTACAAACATGCAGCTTTTCATTTCATAAGACCTTAAATGATTGATTAACTTATCTGACGTTTACTTGTGGATTATTGTGATGGTTTTTTCAGCTGTTTGAACTCTCATTCTGATGGCACCCATTTACTGCAGAGGACCCATTGGTAAGCAAGTAATGTAATGCTAAATTTCTCCAGATTTGTTCCAATGAAGAAACAAACTTCTTGGCCTGAGGGTGAGTACATTTTCAGTAAATTTTCATTTGTGGGTTAACTATTCCTTTAAGTAGCATTTTTTTTCTTTCCTATTCCACTTATAATTACATTGAGTTTTGTGTTTTTCCTACATAAATTGTACACAAATATTAATTTGCATCTTGACTGTTAGATATGTCCAATCTTTCAACTCATGACCAGCCAAATTACAAGTAGACCAGCGTGAGATGACACAGCACACATTTTTTGCAGCTAAAAAAAAAACCTTGTGTGATCTGTTTCCTTCTCAAATCATTCCCTGGCCCAAAGACCTGACCTAAAAGTAGATTGGTCAGGTCAGTTTTATGTGGAAACAGTGTTGAGAGATGGTGCGGATTGAAGCACCTGTCTGATGCTTGTGGTCTCTGAATGAGCGGCATGCTAAAACTCTCCACAGACAGCGTGAATCTCCCTTTTGCTCATGGAAGGAATTCTGGTGATGTGGATGGCATTCGATCAATCTGCCGCTGATATGTAAGTGGGTGGGTCTTATTCCAACCGTAGAGCCAACAGATGATTCTTGCACTGCAGTATGTAGATTTAATTTCCTAACCTCTCATCTGGTGTAGGTGGACAGCTCAGTTCATAGTGACATAAATTGTGTTACAGAACAAAGTATAAAAACAGAGTATAAGCACCATTGTCATTGCAAAAATTCCATGCAGATGCAACTTGCTTTGGTAATTTGTTGTCTAATCTTTATACAATTTTTAAACATGACTTACACTAACATTAACACTACCGAATGTTTGGGATCCGTAAGATTTTGAAATGTTTTTGAACATTTATGCTCACCAAGGCTGCATTTATTTGATCAAAAATACAGTAATATTTTTGTGAAAACAGTGATACATTTTCTCTATGATTCTTTGATGAATAGGCAGTTCAAAAGAACACTTTTTATTTGAAATAAAAATCTTTTGTAACTTTTTTTTTACTTTCACTTTTGACCAATTGAATGCGTATTTGCTAAATTAAAGCAATTATTAATAAAAAATAAAAAAAAATCTTCCTGTTTCCAAACTTTGGAACTATAATGTTGTTGTGGTGTTATACCACTGCTGATGTTTATAGAGAAACTGAGCTTGTCATAAACTTTAAAATTTTAAATACTGTCATCACTTACTCACCCAGAAAATACGTGGTTAGACATGGTTAAGAAAATGAAGACAAAATGTTAATTTTTGGGTCCAAAGTGAATGTTTCCACATCCATCTTTCATAACCATCCTCTCAGAATACATCCACGTGTGCTGCATCTCGCTTTTATTGCACATGCTTTAGATTTTTCGTGCTTCTTTTCATTCCATGTTCTAATCACACCCTGTGAATGGTATGTCTGGAGTCTTGATGCGGTATAAATCAGATCGTCTGTGATGAATACTTTGCCCTTGTCCCTATCACATGCTCCTACACATGTAGGCAGAAGTCTGCCTCGGCTATTGTAATTCATTCTGGACTCATAATGAGAGAGCTTTACAGCATTTCCTCCTGAGTTGTACAGTGTCCTTCACTCTTGCAAGCCTTGGGAGAAGACTCCCTGCGGAACTCTTAAAGAGTGGCAGGAAGTAGTGCTAATCACGTCTGTGACACATCTGTTGAGCGTCTGTGCACGTGCGTGTGTGTGTGTGTGTGTATTTGATAGAGTGAATGCACAGTGTCTGTGTGCCATCACCCACTAATCCCATTAAGAGCCTGTGTCTCTCAACCCCAGATGAATGATTAATCCTCTTTGGGTTTGCAATTGTCTTAATGGTTTATTCTGCGGTAAAGTGGCCAGATTAATTTGTCTTGTAGCCGGGTACTTCCTTATAGTCTTTCTTCCTTGACATGAGGTGGTTAAACAAGTACTACATCATCATGTGCACATAATTTGTATGGATCTTCAATTCAGCTATTGATAAAAAAAATTGGCTATTACATTTTTTTATCGTATTATTTATTTCAGATGAGACTCCAGTCAATGCTGTATGTTTGCCAATTTGCTATAGTCAAGTCAAGTCACCTTGCTATACAACTTAATTGTATAGCGCTTTATACAAAACTGATTGTCAAAGCAGCTTTACAGTGTCAAACAGGAAAATAGTTTGTCAATAATGCAAGAGGACAATAACAAAGAGTCATTTTCAGTGATGTCATCGTCCAGTTCAGCTCTCTTCCAATAGTGTCTGTGAAATCGGTCAAGCGTCCCCAACTAAGCAAGCCAAAGGTGACAGTGGCAAGGAACCAAAACTCCATTGGTGATGGAAATGGAGAAAAAACCCTGGGAGGAACCAGGCTCAGTCGGGGGCCAGTTCTCCTCTGGCCAGACGAAACCAGCATGGTGTGGTTTAATTCCAGGCTGCAACAAAGGTCAGATTGTGCAGAGGACTTGTCTGGTTCTCATGGTCTTTTGCCGATGGCTGTCGAGGTGACGAGGTCTTCGCAGGGGATCTGTCTCTGGGGCTCATCTAGTTGACATGGTCTCCGCTGATATTCAGGGCTGTAGAAGTCGTTTCTAGGTGCTGGTCCACCATCTGGACTGGATCCGTGTGACTGCAGTAAACATCTGATCTGGATACGGTCTGGATCTGGGTGACAATGGTGACCTCGGAATAAGAATGAATTAGACTAATATGAGCGTAGATGCCATTCTTCTTATAAGTGAGTACATCGGGTGTTATGGGAAGTGTTCTCGGTTCCGGTTGACCAAATTAATGCAGCCTAACAATCCTTTAATGGATTTGAATTATAGAAATGTGATGTGTATAGAAATGTGTTATGTGTATGCCAGGTTAATCTAGATTTAAACTGACAGTGTGTGTCTGCCTCTCTAACAGCATTAGGTAGATTGTTCCAGAGTTTGGGCACTAAATAGGAAAAGGATCTGCCGCCTGCAGTTGATTTTGATATTCTAGGTATATGGCCAGAGTTTTGAGATCGCAGCGGACGTGAAGGACTATAATGCGATAAGAGCTCGCTCAAGTATTGAGGAAAATTGTATTCAATGTTCAATAGGGAGCCAGTGTAGAGTTGACACAACCGGGCTAATATTATGGTCATACTTCCTGGTTCTAGTAAGAACTCTAGCTGCTGCATTTTGGGCCAGCTGGAGTTTGTTTATTAAGCTTGCAGAGCAACCACCCAATAAAGCATTACAATCATTTAGGTTGGACAAACACATCCCAGACATCCCACCCTAGACCACACCATTGGTAGAGCCAGTTTTTCAATCTAAAGTGCACTCATTGTTTTTTCTCCACATTAATTGTTTTTTATTTGTATTTATTATTTTTTACACATAAATTAGTACTATTAAAAATATGTTTAGAATCAGTAACATTCCAGATGAGTCAAGATACTCTTTTGAAAAACATATTTATTTATTTATTTGTTTGTTTTTCAGATGAGACTCCAGCAATTATTTTAGTATCACTGATATACTATTTTTGAAAATATATTGAATTAGATTTTAATTTTATGTTTTGTTTTCATTTTAATATTAGCAATTTTGTTGCGTTTTTGTCATTTTTATTAGTTTTAGTTTTATTTTAATTCGTTTTTAAATGTGTAGTTTTTATTAGTTTTAGTTTATTTAGTTTTAGTATTTTAGTACTTAAACTAAACAAAAATAAGAAATGTTGCCTCGGCAGCTATAACTGAAATAATTTTAATAATCTTATTTTAGTTATTTTGTTTCAAGTACGGAAAAATGTTTTTTATGGTTTTAGCTAACAATAATAACCCTGGACTTGGCAGCATAATAAAAGTTTCTATGAAAATCTGCATAAATAATGATTTATTAACAAATGTTTTAAACATGTTTGTCCATTTTGCCATAGATTGAAAAAACACCCCAACTTACACCATTGGTTGAGCCGCTGTTACTATGTTGGGTCTCTCAAACAAACAATGTTTTGATAGTGTTTACGCTTTTCTGGGAAAGAAGTGGTGCTGGGAATCTTGTGCAGTTTTAAAGTGGTTTAAAGAACTGATTTTTGAGCAGAAATGCTCCAGGCTAAGTGGGATTCCAGAAGGAAAGCACCATGAACAGCATGGTAGCAGTAGCCTTGAGCCATTTGTGCTGAGCTGTGGCATTCGCCCATGGTGGCACCTTCTCTGACAATGTGCCAGCCATCTGTGTGCCGAAAATGCCCCCCTCTCCCCATCTGCAACCTGGTTCCGCCCCTTCACCCCCTTCTGCTGATGGATTATGGGGCTATTTGAGTTTTAAAACTATGCCGGCCTCGAGACAAAGCAACTGGGTGAACAGCAAGCTTAATCTGCATTTATGATATTACATTTGCCTCTTGGAATCAGGTCGGGGACCTAATCCTGTCCCGCCTTATTCAAAATTGTACCTCATACTGTGTGTGTGTGTGTGTGTGTGTGTGTGTGTGAGGGAAATGATGTTATTTTTCTCAGTCCTTGCTACTAAAAAAAGCACATCAAGTTAATACGATTGTAGCACCACACTATGCCATTTCATAACCACATCCTGCAGACTGAACAATGCATTTGATAACTGTTTATGCAAGGGTTTTACAAACTAGGGGCCAAGGACCCCCATGCAGGTGCCTGGAAATAAATAGCGTAAAGAAATATTTGTAGAAAATGTTAATATTTGAAGAATTTAACTTTTGACATAATTCATAATTTGACTTATTATTTCAATTATTTCATTCAGACATGAGAGGTTTATCATGATTATTTTATTATTTTTGATTATGTTTCTCAGGTTTATACCTCTAACATAACTCCAATAGTGGGTAGAAATTGATATTACTTCAGCTTAATTCTTAAATAATTCGTAAATATTTTCATGTTATTTTTCATTTCATTTTATTTATATTTATTATTTTTTAATCCCATCTTTTGGCTTTAGTTTAATGACAATATAACATCCAATTACTTGATTTTGGAAACAACATATGTTTAATATTTTTCCTAAATATCATAATTGGTCTGTTTACATGGAAATATACAGCTCCTATTATACTTTAGGAAGGGATTCCCTTGAGATCATAATATTTGTCGGGTCATTGGCATCAAAAAAAAATTTGTAATGCTCCTGCTTTATGTGACAGTGAAATAGCTCATATAATCAAACTCTTTTTGTTTATTCAAATATTTCCTCAGTTTTAATATTACTTATGAAATCACTTGAGCAATTATAATTCATTACCTAAAAAAAATATTTTTTATAAAGATTTTTACTCCTGTGGCCAGAAAATAATCTTTTTTTCTTGGGTAAAGAGCATTAAAAGTCATGTCTCATTGGTCCTACACAATCTTAAGTTGAAGGACGACAGCATAGCATAAACACGCAGCAGATGTAGAGTGTCCCTATGTGGCTTAAACAGTGAATAAATCTTATTAAGTGCTGCAAGAACCAATCGTTATGGATTGAAATTCATAGCCGAACCGTTTGTTTACTGACCTTGAGTTCGTAAGTATTTTTTTCTGCATTCATTTTCTCAATAAAAAAAATAAAAAATCTTCAATAAAGAAGCCTTGAACCAAACCGCCCAGCTCTGAATTACAGCACATTTGATTCAGTTTAAAATAGTGTTTGAAAATATGAAAAACATACAGACTGAAATTACAGACTTTACTAAAAGTAAATCAACTAGTCATCCCATGAAGCAGTGCAATCAATTATTTCATATATAAATACTGTGGTGTTTTTTGTTTTTTTTTTAGTGGAGAAAATTATTGAGATTTTTGTGTCCAGATTTGTACTTCATGTCATGCTCTAAATGGCTTTTGTTTTGTGTGTTTTGTTTCTATAGGTCTGTTTCCTGATGTTGGTGGTGGCTACTTCCTGCCCAGACTTCAAGGCAAACTGGGGCTCTTTCTCGCCCTGACTGGGTTCCGCCTCAAAGGGAGAGATGTTCAGAGGGTCGGGGTGGCTACTCACTTTCTGCAGTCTGACAAGGTAATGCACATAGACAAGAGATTGACCAATATTTGGCCATTTTGAGGTTACATAGATATTCAATTGGCCAAATAAATGGC